CCCGTCGCCCCCCCCCCCCCCGCGCGTACGGGGCCTGAATGTCTAAAATAGCTACGGGTGTTTTATCTAAATTCTTCTTTTTAAACATGGGCCTAATATCATGTTTTGTTATCTTATTCCCTATTGATCATCGCAAAACCATGGCGGGCCAATAAAACACTAGTTAAACAAGTAGATTTCGTAACTCTGCAGCACCGTATAACGCTTGCTCAGTTCCGGTTAGTTCCTTATTGTAATTTGTTTTCCTTTTTAATATCTTGCCTGCTTACTGCAATCATAGAGTATCTTCTTATCTCCCCATCCTCAAGTATTGGTTATTTTTTATTGGTTCTGCTGTCTTTATATATTTATTGTTTTTGCAACCTTTTATTCAATTTATAATTAATGTGTTTTTATATGCCCATTTTATATCTTCCTGTGTCTGGTGCTGTGTGCTGTGTGTTTTATCCATTGTTACTTGCCTTTCAACGTCTTGTTTTTTTATGTATGTGTTGTTAATTTCTTGAATTTTGCCGTGTTCAGTTTTTAAATTTTTAACTTGCAATAATTATATTACATTCATATACAACTTTTTGGCTGGCTGTAATTTGTATATATTTTTTTATATGAATGGATGAATAAAGATTGTAATACATTCACATACAACTCTTTGGCTGGCTGTTTGTAATTTGTATATATTTTTTTATATGAATGAATGAATAAAGACCTCGAATATTATATTATGTTTGACAAACCATTAAATGTTTTATAGGTATGAATTTTAATACTTACATGTATATTGACTGTAAAAAATGACTGCAACCGACAGAACAAAGAATAAAGGTGTGCTAATTTTTAATTAAATGATTATGATAAATAATAAAATACCACGTATATTCCAAAAAGGCCAAGGGTAACAATATTTTTTAATTAAAAGATTATGACAAATAATTAAATACCACGTATATTCCAAAAAGCCTGAGTAGCGATGCAATACTTTTTATTTAAAAGATTATGACAAATTTGAGATTGACTTTCCATGCAGTGAAGACAAAATTAATTAGAACATTTGGTTTAATGGCTTAGAATAATATTTTCAGTTCAAAATCGGCGTATCAATATAATTTATTTTTCTTCTTTTTTTCCCGTTTATTTGGTATAAATACATTCTCGCAACAATCCCAGAGGGCTGGCTAGTGAGTTAACAAAAACAATGCAATGCAAATGATTAAGATACTTAACTACAAAACATGAAAAAAAATGTACAAAAATAAACATTCATATTTTAACGTTGTTTAATATCGATTGTAAGAGATAATGTAATATAATATTATATCCTGTTTGGTCAAAGTCAATGTTTTACAATGACATGACATAAACAGACCACAGCTGTTTTCTGATCTAAAAACACAAATAAAACTCTGATTTGGTCCAAAACGCAATGTTATGCATGAACGAGTTTACTGTTGACCATAAAATATATATTGCCCGAAATTACAATATGTTGGCCTTTATAAATATAGTATAGGCCTACAGTACTTGTAACACGGTAGATCAGTGCAGATTATCCAGACCAGTGAAAATACTGCGAATAATAGGTAATTGTTTTATTACTATGAAGTTAAGTTAACATTTTTAGGTACTTATGTATTTTAGGATGGCCCATATTCCAAGGATTGACAATAGCTAATAATTAATTAATCTGTTTTAATTAATGATCGTTCTGTTCCTATTTTACAAGCAATTCAAAATATGTTGCTTTATCATTCCATTTACTCTTCTTCTGATATGATGCACATGTAAAATCAGGGGTGGCGCCAGCAGGTGGGTGAGGGGAGGGGGGTTGGACATATTAGTAGACCCAAAATCGATTAAATAAGCCTTCTCCCTATTTTTTGGTTTTCAAATTTGGGATCTCTGCTTTCAAGAGATTTGAGCGACCACGCCCACTTTTTTTTTCGTCAAGTAATCCCCCCCCCCACCCCTGTCAACAAAAACGCCTACTATATGTACCATTAAACTTTCTTTTAATTCTTTTCAAGTTTTGTTAAGACGCTATAACCTAATAATGTCTGATGAGGGTGAGGCTAAACGTGAGCTGAGTGGTAATGTTTCGAATTGCAGGACTATTTATCTGTATGTTCCAAATATCATTGGTAAGATATATTTTATGTTGTAAACTTCAATTACCATTCCTTTTTTTTTACCATATTTATATAGGGTGACCCTTCCAACGTATCCTATAGGATCAGCTGGTATTCATAAGGGGTTCTTAAATAAATGAAATACAGTAAAGTTATACTTTTATTAACAGTCTTTTTATGATGCTTAGGGAGTGGAGTTGTTTTTAGTTGTCACAAAAAAGTAATGTTGTCACAGGAGTCGAACCAGAACAATGGAATTAGAAGGCAAGCACCTTAGCCACTAAGCTACTCAAGTCCTCTCACAAATGCTACACTAATCAAAATGTCTACCTATTCGGTCAGTATTTATATGGTTATAGGGTTCGGTTCATGTCCATTTACACAATTAGCCTATATAATTAATTGCACCAATGAAACGATGGACGGTCGGACGGATAAGATGTGTATAAGAGACAGGTGTTTAGCTCTTATCTGTTATATAATATTGTTTGAAACCGATTATATTTCCTGTTAAGGTTACATACGGATATTGTTGCTTGGAATTTCATCTCGTCTTCTGTACCTTGATTGGTATTTAGAAGGTACATTTATCTACATTGTATTCATTGTTCTCGATTACATTGACGGATATTACGCACGCAAGCTGAACCAATGTAAGTGAATGTAAAAAACATACCGAAACAAAAAAAAAAAAAAAAAACAAAAAAAAAAAAAAAAAAAAAAAAAACAAAACAAAAAAAAAGCAAACAAACAAACAAAACATGTTTCTAATTCCATCTATCATTATGCCGTCGTTTTTACTTGGGACGTCATTGATGTTAGAAAGTAATATGGAACGCCATTGTTGTAAAAATCGAATTATTTTTAATAGATTTTACTGATTAAGACAAAATTTAGGGACTGAAACTCAGTTTGTTTCACGAGTTAAAAGGCTTGAATAACTCACAGAACATCCTTTAGAAAATGCAAACATGCTGCTAAGCATTAAATCAATGTGTTCTAGGCCCGGCGAATATGTGTGTGTGTGTACGTGCATGCGTGCTAGTGTGGATGGTGCCTATACTCGAGGTATATGCCTAATATATATATTAGACTCATTCTCTCCTTTTCATTTAATTTTATTCAATACACTTCTCATGTATACATAAATACAAAACTGAAGGAGACGAGCCAATAGGTGACGAACACCTCTACGAGGGCTAGCTCCTTACATTAAAAATACAAAAATATAAATATGAATATGAAAAATGACAGTACAAACACCGAAACAATAAATTTGTAAAAAAAAAAAAAAAAATGAAAAACGGCAGGAAGTATGCTAAAGGAAAAACAACCGATGAGAAAAGTTTCCATCCGGCAGCGTGTATCTCTGCAGAATGCAAGGGTTTTATTCAGTGCTCTCTATACAGTATACTACAACAACAGTGATATATTAAGAATTATATAGCCATAATAAATATGTTATACCCATATGCATCCCACCATGAATATAACTTAAGTGGATGAGGTCCGACAACATCTTAATGCAAGTTGGCCTAATGGAACAGTATTTATATTCTTTTTTTTAAGCCATCATGTTTTATTCCATCTAAGATGGATCTGTTAATTATGTTTTGTTGTGTTCTTGTTAGGTACCGTATTTGGTGCATTCTTTGATACAATGACAGATGTTTTTGGGGATACGATGATATTAATGCATATCGCAATGCGATATCCGAGTTACTTTGACTTGATACAGTTCCAAATTTTCGTTCATCTAAGTTGTGGTTTTTTGTCTACTAGGTAAGCATTTGATTAATGGCTATTAATATTTTCTTACTCAAAGTCAGTGGCGTAACGAGAAGTTCTGGAGCTTGCGGTGAAAACATGTTGGGGGCCCTCAAAAAGTTCAGTAAAGTATTCACTAACCTAAGAACATTATGAACATTAAAGCTGAAAAGACTGCATTATATTGTGTGACTATAATCATAATATTAACTTTTATTTTTTCACACACTTCGGGCCCCTTGACATCACTGTTCAATGCCTGGATTTCCTACGCACTTAGACGATGAACTCAGACGCCACGTCCACCGAAAATCATAGCAGAATGATTATTATTATGATCATCATCATCTTCATCGTCATCGTCATTAGGCCTGCCATCATCATTTTCATTATTATTACTATTATTATTTCTATTATAATTGTTATTATTATTATTATTATCATTATCATTATTATTACTAATATTAACGGTTCCAAATTAAAACATGCTACTGTAGGGTAAGGGTTGTATACAAATTTGATGACGTATTCGTTATCGTTTTCGTCTTGTGAAAACTCCCTAGTATTACTATGTTACCAGTATAATGTATAACAAAGGAGCTGTAACACAATTAAAGTAGGTTAGTTGCATTTGGATGTCGACATCTTCATAGATATACATAGAATGCCGTATTATTCTTTTAGTGCACATTGTCTGTGTGGTTTGGATGCGAAATCTTCTACGTGGGCTTTCTTGAGGTTCTTTTACGATCAGGTATTGTCAGTTGTTCAAAATATCTCTCACACCACTGTGTGTTATTATAATAGTCCTATGTTTATACTCTACGTTTTGATCGCCGATGACTCCGCGTTATAATCATTCGATTTTAAATAAATAAATAATGAATTAGCCTATATAATTAATTGCACCAATGAAACGATGGACGGTCGGACGGATACTCGAGTAAGTGAATGAATGGATGGACGGACGGACGGATGGATGGACGAATAGATGGATGGGTGAGTGGATGAGTAATTAATTATAGTATTAGTGGGCTTTTTTTTCTTTTAGCTCCTGGATTATATATGGTTTGCACATAGTAGCTGTTTGGTTGCAGTGCATTCCTATACCTATATATATACATATATATATATACATAACGTTAATATTTATTTATTATATATTTATAGCATTACCGCAAGACGATTTAGAGTTTGTCTCTATCATATTATTTACTTTTCTATCATATTATTTTATTGTCTTGTCAATTGCTGATAAGAAAAGGGCGTATCACATTGATTTGTGTTATTTGCCATGCATCAAGGACTAGTGCTGTCTAATACGCATGCGCATGAGTGTGAAAAATTAGATGCTCTATTTCGATTTGAATTTTAAACATGGCCTCAATGACCTAGTTGGTTAAGGCGTCTGTATAGACAGCAGAAGGTCTCTGGTTCGAATCCCAGCTGAGGTACCTATTTTTTCTCATTTGGAAATTCTTTCAGACCTCAATATTTACACGTCTATTTCTCCTCCCTATATCCTCAAGATCATTGAAAAGGCTGTCCACTCTTAACTTTTAATCATAAAACTTTCTAATTATGTTTTGTCTCCCCTTTCATTCAATGGTTCTCCTCCCATCTTTTTAACAGCTTTCAAAAAGTGGTTATTAACTCCACCTCATCCTCCTCTAGACCAATAAAATTGGTATTACCCAAGGTTCAATGATAGCCCCTTCTTTTTACAATTATTATTAATGATCTTTGTTTGTCTCTTGTTCACTCTTCTGTTGATATGCACGTAGACGATACAATTATTTACGTCTCGGACCCTTGCATATGTATATTGGAAGTAAGTTAAATGATGATCTCACAAATTTCACCAAATGGCTAACTGCAAAGAAACTTCTCAACATCAACAAAACCTAAGCTATGCGTATTGGTACAGCCCATAAATTAAGTCAAAATAACATATTTAACACATACGCACCAGCAAAACGATACTATTTTTTAAAAACTAAAAAGGCGCTTAAATCTAGCTAATGATTGCTTTTATACAAACTGAAGTTTGTATGATAATTTTATTGATATTTGAGAACAACTTATATATTGTATTGTTTTTTATATAGGTTCTAATCCATTTTTCCATTTTACTTTTTGTATTTCACTTGTGTTACTGTGTTTGTTTTGTATTTTTGCGAGGGCCTCTTTGAATCAGCCTTGCTGTTAGAGCTACCCATATTAAAAGAAAGTTGAATAAATAAATAATGTTTAATATTTATTTATATACATTTACAGATTTACTAGTGAGTTACGATAATTTAATTATATATATACATGTATATATATTTATATATATAAACTTATATCGTTTGTTTTCTTTATTAAATTTCTGGAAATAATAATCTCTTATAGAAGTTTCGGTAGCAACGCATATATCCGTTCCGTTTATTTTAACTTAAAAGATAAAAAAATAAAGATATAAAATTATATAAAAAATAAAGATATAAAATTATATAAGGCTTCGGCCCAAATAAAATATAATTGCTATTTACAGAGGGAAATGATCATTTCTACGTTTAAATGAGTGATAAAGAAATTTACATAAACAACTTATTGTATTGATATCAGTTATAGTGGACATTAATTGAGTAAACTTAACTTTGGATGGATTAACAATAAAGTATATAATGTTTACGAAAGTAAAATGGTACTCATCTTCAACTAAATGTAATGTACAGTGTTTGCATAATCTATCTTTTTTTTATCAATTTTTGTCCATCTACCAGTTTCAATTTCTAATTCAAGGACTCCTAAACGCAACTTAGTGAGAATACGTCTATAATTAAAATTTTTGTATATGCATTAGGTATAATTCGACTGTAAAATTATATTTAAATGTCACATAATACTTAAATATGGAAAATAAATGAATTTGTTCATGAAAATTTTAACGTTCACTATCAGTTAGACGAGTAGTTATTTCAGATATAAAAGCAACATTGTTCTCAACATATTGTTCATACCAATTTATACCAAAACCAATTGAACATAATTTCTCCTTAATAAAGTATAATCAAGATTTATCGTTCGACTGTAATCTTCTTAACTA